GTTTCAGTTCCCAGGCTCAGCTACTTGGCTTTCAGATGGCTGCCTGTTCACAGCCCTAGCCCTGCTGCTGGTCTGAAAGACAGGGTGGCACCTCCCGGCAGACCAGCCTCTGAGGCTGCCTTCCCATGTAACTGCAGTGAGCTGGGACTGGGGTAGATCCGGGAACTTCCACCACCAGGGAATCCAGAGGAGATCCTCGGGGCGGGGGGGGCGCAGAAGGGGCCCAGGCAGGAAGAAGAGGAGCTTTAGCTAGAAGGAAAACAGGCCCTTGGGTGGCTCCGTTTGAAGGTTCCTCGGCTTAAGGCTTCACTGGGTGAATTCTCATGTGTTTACCTCATTCCATGTTCAGCCTGGTTTCTGCCACGGTCTCAGGTGGGTAGGTGAGAAAGCCAGGACAGGACCCCGGTCCAAAGCTGCTTGTCTTCTCCCATGAGACCCCTCTCTTTGACAGGGATCCTTTTCAAATTCACCAAAAAACTTTATGTAGGAAAAAAAACATTGAACATTTCATATGTTAATTAGCCATGCTATGGTTTCCATACTGTCTGATTGTTAAGCATAACAAATCCCCTTATCAGCTCATCATCTTTGGTTTTACATGCTCTTACCGTGGGTTGTTCTGGTTCCTTCCTGAATGGGTGAAGGAAGAGTTCTCTGCTTTGGGAGGGTGGGACAAAGAGCATGACTTTGGAGTCAGACGAGGGTTTGTGTTTCGGTTCTTCCATATGTGAATGGTCAAACCTGAGCCCAGCTGTACCCCTCTGAGCCTCTGCCAATGGCAGGGTGGTGACCGGGATTACATTGGGCTCATATTAAAGGCGCCGATCAGAGTTCTTGGCTTAAAGTAAATGGCCAATATATTATAACTATTAGAATTTCTTGCTTTTACTTTTTAATTATATAATGTCAATACATAGTGAGGCTCAATCGTCAGTATTTCAAGAAAAATTGTTATTCCCCTGGGTGGGCCTGGGGTGGGGCAGGGCGGGGGGACTTCCTTCAGGTCACATTGCCTGGATTGTTGTTTGCTCCTGCGTTTTGTGTTGGCCTCGGTCCCTGGGAAGGAGGTGGATGGGGCTGCAGTCCTGAGCAGCATGCATTGTGACAGACC